ACTGAAAGACAAGTGATCCCATACAATGACTCAGATCTACACTTAATATTAATTTACCCACTTGCAATCTGAAACTTTCAAATGGTTTTACCACAAATGATGCATGTAACACCTGTAAGGTAATGCAGTCCACAACACTAAAAGTGTATCTGCCCAAAACATTTACTGTGGAAGGAAACTAAACGTGTGGTTAAATGCGCCCTACTGCACAAAACAAAAAACAAGGTGTTTTCCATAAAATCATAAGACTTAAAAAATCCCTTTAAATGTAAATCCCTTTTTATATACTCTATAATAATACACAATAATACAATCTTTGGTACACATATACGTTTTTATAACTAATTAGTAAATACATTAAAACATAGATAAAGAATATCACTATCCATAATCAGTTCAGCTGTTCTAAAAATGCACACAGAGTATCCACACAGAATATAGGAATGTCATATGTTACAAATAGTAGAGAATAATGTATATCACAAAATATAAAATGACAAATGATGGCTAGAAATCAATATGGTGTATGTAATGGGAAATTCCAAATATAAAATCCTGATAGGTATTGACAAAGGCAAAAAATAAAACTGAGGACAAGAATATATTTAACATTCAGAACAGGAAGCTCTTCTTTCTCTAAAGGGTTGAGGGAATATGGAAGCAGCTAGTCAGCCTCATTACTGAAGTCAAAACCATGACTTTTTTTCCAATAAACTGTAAGATGAGATTCTTGAATCCACCCTTTATCTCCCCCACTAATGTTCAGTGGTGGTGCTCAAGTCTGGGACTTTTAGCATCCCTAGTATAACTTTATCACATAAGCATAACTTACATAAACAATCTTATTCACTTCTCTCGAGACACAAGCAGCAACTGATGACTCAAATCAATGTAGCGCCATACACTTAGGTTGCCAGCAATTAATACAAGTGGAGTTGGATCATCACAAATGGACCTCCTCATCAATTTCTTGTTGAACAGAACAACTGGTGTATTGTTATGCATGCCAGTGCCTTACTCACCAAAAACCACAAAGGAGATCTACACAAAACTTTGATTCATCCTTAAAGGAACTGGCCCCACTGATAAGTCCATTTAAAGTGTTGCTGAAACATTCTAATGGAATAAAGGCATTGTGCTCTTAATAAGTCGTGCCTTTCTATTTTCACCAGGCTTTACATAAGGTCATGCTTAAATGACCTTGTCACCCAATCAATTTTCTCAGTATTAAGGTAAATTAATGTTTATGCAACAATCGTATGAGTTTATCATAGTCACAAATAATTAATGAATAAAAATGACACCAAAACCATTTATACAATATCTTAAATTTGTTTACAATATTTTTCTAAAACAAAGTGCCCTTCAGATTAATTCATATCCCTGATGAAATAAGAAATATCTTTAAACATCTTTTTAAAAATATCTTAAAATGTATTTTTTAACATAAAGATTTACAGAGTGGATGATTCCAGAGAAAAAAATAAAAATCATACTGTAATCTTTAATAACAATGATCATAGCAAAGTCATATTTCTCATAAAGGTCTGAAAACATAAGAGTCACATGTATTCACACCCATGTATCAGTATTTTGCTCATTCCCAGCTGCCATTCATTACTCTGACAAACCAATTCCTGCAGAGTGCTGTGAAGTTCTGGCACTTTTGAGGCAGGATTTTTGACCGTTCCTTCAGGCACAATTGTTCTAGGTTTGGTTTGCGTTTGTGAATTGCGTTATTGAAGTCGGGCTGCAAATGTTTGATTAGATTAAGGTCTGGAAATTAAGAAGGCTAGACAAGAGTATTTATTTTATTTTATGTGCAGTTAACCATTTCTTAGTTGATTTGGATGTACAGTATGCTTTGGATCATTGTCATGCTGGAATGTCAATTTTCAGCCAAGTTTGAGCTTCTTGGCAGAGGGAGCTAGATGTTTGGCTAACAGGAGTTCATGATTCTCCCTATCCCCTCAAGGGCTGCAGGACCAATAGGTGCACATCCACCCCAAAACATAATAGACCCACTGCTGTGCCCACCCTTCACAGTGGGGATGAGCATTTTCTTAATGTGAGTTCACCTTTTTTATGCCAAACATAAATCTGATGAACATGTCTGAAACGCTCAATTTGCATTTCATCTGAGAATAAAACATGGTTTCACTTGACATTTAGATGTAGTCTGGGGAATCCTCAGAAGACAACATTCATTCAGGTAGCATCAAATGGTAGTTTTTGACACTTTGTATTCTTAAGATGTCAGTTTGTGTTGATTTATAATTCTTACTTTTGGATTCCAGTGGTGGAATGATGCACTTGTTCTCTCTTCATGGCAGAGTTGCCAAAGGTCTTAAATTTCTATATAATGGACAATACAATGGACAACAAGATTCAAATTTTGTAGGTTCTTTATAGCCATCGCCAAACATGTGGAGGTCAAGGAACATTTGCCTGTACTGTTTGGACAGTTCTCTAACCTTAAACATGGTGATCCAAACTATTGCTGAATATTGGTACTACTGAATTTCTTAAGTGTGTTACCTCTTTTCACAGCCCAGGTAAACAGAAAACCTTCAGTAGGCTTCCAGTGCACTTCCAAAGAGCAGAACGTTACTGTAGATTGGTTTTTGTTGAATTTCATTTAGAGAAATACTAAATAATAAGAATAAATATGACCATTATGATTTCTCAAATTCAACTATATATAGTGCAGAATTATGTTATCGTTCTGCTTCTCACCAATAGGAAACTTGTCAAGATAGATGGGAGGATACGTGGAGCTAAGTATTGGAAAATGTTACAGGACAACCTCTTTCAGGCTGAATTCTGGGACAAAAAAATCACCTTTCAGCAGGACAATGACAATGCTACACTGGACTGACTGAAGAATAAGAAAATGACTGACTGTCATAGAGTGGCCCAGTCAAAGTCGCTACTTGAATACTTTTGAGAAAAGACTTGAAAACTGGTGTTCATGAGCAATTTCCAGGCAACATGAGAGTTTAAGCAAATTTGCCATGACGAATGTGCAGACATTTCACCAAGCTAGTGTAAAACATTGATAGAGACTTAACCAAAAAGACTTGCAGCTGTAATAGCTGCTAAGGGTGCTGAATACTCATGCACTCAACATATTTGAGTCTTGTTGTACTTTTAACTGACATTAACTATAACTTGTCTTATCTTTAGAAGTCTTCAGCTTTGGAATACAATATTAAGTTTAAAAATATATGCATGCATCATTCA